ATCACAAGTTATATAATCATTGAAAAACCGGACGATAGAAAAGGAAAAAACTTGCACAATGATGAAGAACGGAAAAAAGATCACTTGTATAAAACGTGACCCAAACGAAAATGAAAAAAAACAGAAACTAGCAAAATCACACGCTGTGTGAAAGGACAAGGTCCTGTAACACTTACTATCACGTCTGAAAACGCGGGATTCGCTTCAGCCTTAGTTTGTCTATATGGTTGTTCAGAACAGCTGTTTTAACAGCAAATAACGTGCGTTATAACACAAAACATTTCTTTCATTCCTTCATTTTCAAAAATTAAAGTGTTTGCCTAAATACAGGCATTTTTTAATATTCTTAAACAAGTAGTTTTTTTCATATTAACTTTACTTATTCCAAACGTTTCGACTGATAGTTCAATCTTTCCCAGTGGATACAAACGTTAATTAAAATTACATAAACAAATCAATTTGAACAGAAAACTTTTAACAGAGGGATATTTTTCCCCTTTTTAATTTTATTTAGCATTTTTCGCTTAATTAATAAAAAGGGGAAAAATATCCTTCTGTTAAAAGGTTTCTGTTCAATGTTTATGTAATTTTAATTAATGTTTTCCAGTAAGATTCTTGGATGATCCTTATATAAGAATCGTCAATGAGGGTAGAGATAACACGAAATATCTCTTTCATTCCTCCATTTTCGATGACGAAATTACGAGTTATTTCTTTTCTACCTTCTCATATTGCATGGTTATTGTGAAATCGTTCTGTTATAAATGTGGCAAGTTTTCTTCCTGTATTTCTTTCTTTTCAATTGGTTTCACGTACAATGACCACATTCAGCAGTACCAATGATAAGTTCCGTTGCAACTCGATTCCAGTTGATCGTATAACAAACAGCCAATTCCTTGCACTAAATCAAGACTTTCTTCTTTGTCCGATATGTTCAAATATCTTTTGGCAACCTATCACATGTCGAACTTGTGAAAACTCTGCCTGTGCAAAGTGCACCAGCTTGTGGCTGAGTGAACAGAAAATGGAAGAATATGATGACGGATCTGATGTTGACGATGAAGGAGAGCGATACATTCGAACTGAATTTCGACCTCCACGATGTCCATTCAATTGTGCTAAATTCGATGAACGAAGATGTCCACCAATCCTAAAATCATTGCTATCCAAACTCACTGTTCAGTGTGTGAACAAACCAAACGGATGTGAACAAGTTCTATTTTATGAACAATTGGAACACCATGAACAAGTATGCGAATTTTGCCTAATTAAATGCCAAAATTGTGGTAGAGAAATGCTGAAAAAAATGTTTGATGAAGAATATCATAAGTGTGTATGTGATGAAATGGAGAAAATTCTAGAAAAAATCGCCCTTGAATATGACAAGTTGAATGGGATAAATCTCAAACGAAAACGCGATGATTCCGACGCCAATTAGAGCAATTAGCCTGTGTGAGTAAGACTTACATTGAACTTTTTACTATTCAGTTTCGTTTTCATGTATATAAATTTGGATAAGAATTTAAAAGATCTCGGAAATATCGCGGATTAGACCTCGATTGACTTAGTTGTATAAACAACTAAAAAAAAACATCGAAAAGATCTCGATTTTTAAAAATAAATTTTTTTATTTCAAAATCATGGAATGGATCTTGGAAAAAATATGTAATAGATCTCAATTCAGTTAATTGGATGGAAAACATAGAAGAGATCTCGGTTGTTTTTTACACACAAGTGTATAACTAACACAACACCATGCTTGTTATCATAGATTAATTAGGCCTAATACAGATTATTTTTGTGGTAATTTTTAGTATTTTAAAACTAATAAATAAGAAATTTCATTTTTCATATATTTACAAAAACTTTCAACAAATACAAACACCATGAGGAATCAACGTATAAGTTTATGAGAATTTGTAACAAATAAACATAAACGCAGAAAGAGAGATATTATATGATGACGATGAGGATAGTAATAATCCTAATAATGATGTTAGTCTTTTGCATATTTTACTTTTTTCGGACGACCTTTTCCTCGACGTTTTCCAATTTCTTGTGGCATTTGTCGAGTACCCCATAACATCATCATACCAACTGCACGACCACAGGTAAATTCTATGAGGCCATATCGGCACGTACAAAATATTAGTGGTAAAAAACGAGAAAAATCTAATAAACGTGCTGAATGAAGCCAATCTTTAAAATGATCATATAAATCCCATACCATTGAATGTAATAGATTAACCCATGTTTTGATGGTACTACAAAGTTAAATGTAGTCAATTGTACATCAATTCACTCCTATTATCAACTTAAATCCGTTCAAACTAATAATGTGTGAAAATTCGAGCGAACTGTACTACATCTTTTCATCGTAATAGTTGCCGCGACGATTACGATGGACTATTACGACCGCGACTATTACGATTCATTTTTAGCTTTATTTGTTCTGTTATCGCGATTTATTCCACTGATGATGAGTAACGTCCTAGAGCGACAAAATTTTCTGATCCATTGGCAAATTTCTAATATCGCAGTCTGTCCGTACGCATGTTCATTTAATGTCATGTCTGTTTATACTTCCATCCAGTTAACTGAACTGAGATCTATTACATATTTTTTCCAAGATCCATTCCATGATTTTGAAATAAAAAAATTTATTTTTAAAAATCGAGATCTTTTCGATGTTTTTTTTTAGTTGTTTATACAACT